GGGTCATGCCAGGCATTGCCCAGAGCAAGTGATTGATCCACAGGCAGAAAGAGAGAGAGGGTGGTTGGGCATGAGACTCAAGACAGCTGGGAGCCGATAGAGAGCTTGAACTTTTTGTTTCATTCTAAACTTGACAGGAAGCTACTGGAGGGTTGCTGTATATATGTATGCATGCATATATTTAAAATAGTTTTAATTACATGTGTCTGTCTGTGTGCTTGTGCGTATGTTTCTGAGTGCCTGCCATCAGAGGGCATGAGATCCCTTGGAGCTGGAGTGACTGACAATTATGAGCTGCCTGATGTGGGTACCGGGAACTAAAGTCAGGGCCTCTGCAGGAGCAGTATGCGCTCTTAACTGCTGAGCCATCTCCCCATCCCCAGGTATGTGCATGTTTAAGATTTATTTTCATGTGTATGAATGCTTTGCTTGAATGTATGTATGTGCACCATGTGCATACAGTGCCCATAGAGGCCATAAGAGGGCATTGGTGGTGCTTGTGAGCTGCCATGTAAGTACTGAGAACCAAACTCAGGTCTTCTGCCAGAGCAACAGTGCTTCTACCCATAGAGCCAGATCTTCTGGCCCCGTGTGTGTGTGTGTGTGTGTGTGTGTGTGTGTGTGTGTGTGTGTGTGTGTGATATTTATTTATTTTTATTTTATTTGCATTGGTGTTTTGCTTGCATCTTTGTCTGTGAAGGAGCCAGATCCCCTGAAATTGGAACTACAGATGGTTGTGAGCTGCCCTGTGGGTGCTGGGAATTGAACCCAAGTCCTCTGGAAGAGCAGACGGTGCTCTTAACTGCTGAGCCATCTCTCCAGCCCCCTGGATGTACATAACAACCCTTCTTGTTGCTCTGTGTTCAGGCACGAGTGGAAACAACAGATCCAGAGAGGAAGCTGCTGTGGTCCTGCAGGAGGGAGGTGATGGGGCCTTGGATGAAGAGCAGGAAAAAGAATGGTGGTCAGGATTGGGGTACACTTGAGAAAGATCCCCCGTCAATTTCTGAGCTGGATGTGGGACTAGGAGAGGAAACAGGGCTGCTCTGATTTTTGGTGGGAGAATAGGAGGGCGATACATGGTCTGGGGTTAGGAAAAACAACACAAGGGTTGACTTTGGAGACATTCATTTTGATATCTCTTGTAGATGCCAAAATTGGCTGTCTGAGCCTGCATATCCCAGGGAGTCCCAGCAGCAGAGCTGGGCATAGCAGATTGCTCTATGGCTGTCACCCGACCCTGCAGTCTTCTCTCAGGTCCTCCAATGCTTCATATTTTCCTGTCTCAGGACTTCCACACATACTCACTGCTCCTCGGCTAACTTTTGTTCAACCCAATGGCCCCAGTTTTAGGGACCCAGCGGCTTCCCTGCATTCTGTGTTGATATCAGAGTCCCCTAAAGTGATCATACTCACACCTTCTTGTGATCATGGCCACACCTTTCCTTCTTCAGCATTATCTGTGTTTGCAATTGGGGTCAATATTGGCCAAATTGAGCTGGATCCCTGATCAGCTCCTGGTCAGTCCAGTACCAATGTCTGTTGCATGCTTCAACCCCAGTGGCTTCCCATGGTGCTTTTGTGCTTGGGACATGGAAAGGCCCTTACAGGGATATTAACCCCAGAGCAAGAGAAGGGCCACAGAACTGTCAAGGCCTCTGTCCCAGCCATGTTTTCTGCTCTCATCCCTGCTTCAGTAGTTATTAGTTTTGAGAAAAGAAAGTCCCCTTGCTCCACAGATCCCACAGAGCCTGATCTGAACCCTGCCAGTAATAACCTGCTTTGGTGCAGAGGTCAGATCTGGGGTGGTCCGAGAAGATGCCTGCTTTTCTGGAGGAGAAACCAAGTCAACGTTCTGGGCGGAAAGTGTTGAATGGCTCTTGTGTGGGAAGCACTCCATCAGTGGAGAAGCCATCTTCCCTTACTTAGCTTAGCTTGCTCTTGGAGACAACAAGACCAGATTGGAGGGAAGTGGGTTCTTGTCCTAGCAGCTGGGTGGTCAGGTTTAGCCTCAGAGAAGATGATAGTTAAAGAGAAACTTATACATTCAAAGAGTCATGCCATCCACCCCTTCCTCCCATCTCCATCCATCTGTCCATCCATTTATCTACCCATATATCAATCCACCCATGAATCCATCTGAACATATATCCTCCTATCTATCTATCTATCTATCTATCTATCTATCTATCTATCTATCTATCTATCTTCTATCTCTATCTCTCTATTCATCCATCTATCCATCATCCATCTAATTACTTATATCCATCCATCATCCTTCCATCTATCCATCCATCCACCTGCCTATCTATCCATCCCTTCACCTATTCATCCATCCATCTGCCCAAACATCTCACTATTAAATTATCTAGTTATCCACTCAAGCTCCATCCATAAGTACGTGTGACCCCTGTACATAAAGTCATGGAATGAGGTGATCATGGCCCCCATCTGTTAGGTGCATGTTTTCCCCACCGGCCTGGTCCCACTGCCGCGCACAGAGATGCTGTATTAGATATAAAGCTGTTGGCCAGTTACTAGCGTTTCTTATTAGCTAGCTCTGCCTTAAATAATTAACCTATTTATATTAATCTAAGTATTTCCACATGGTCTTATCTTACCGGAGAGAGGGCCTGGCATTCTTCTCTCTCGGTCCTACATCTTGAATCTCCTCCTTACTACTTACTCTTGCCTCCTTTTCTCCTCGTCCCACATATCTTGCTTTCCTATTGGCCAACAGTGCTTTATTCATTAACAATTACGAGAAACATATTTATAGAATGACATCTCCCATCACCCATCTTAGTGGGTCTCATATGTTTGGAGATAAAATTCTCTGATTGTCCAGGTCCAGGTATTTCATCCTTTTCCTTACCAGGCACAGTGGGACAACTGTGTTGACCTTTCTACCAAGATCACCTTAAGCAGCTTCCCAGTGTAGTTCAGTGGTAGAATAGTTGCCTAATATTCACGAGGCTCTGGGTTCAGTTCCCAACACTGAAGAGAAAGTAGCTTCCCAGATGAGCACCCAGGGAGCTGTTACCAGAACAGAGAAGAAAGGAGTCTGGGCAGGCACAGGCAATGGATGCCCACTTGATCAGAAGTATTTAGTCATCATAGGTGGGGTAGAGCAGTGGTTCTCAACCTGTGGGCCCCGACCCCCTTTGTGCCAAACAACCCTCTCACAGGGGTTACCTACCACAGTTGTTCATGATTTTTAACAGTGGCAAAATTATAGTTATGAAGTAGCAACAAAAATAATTTTATGCCTTATGATTGGGGGGTCACCACACATGAAGAGTTGTATTAAGGAATCATAACCTTAGGAAGGTTGAAGACTACTGGGGTATAGGGATAGGGAAGAATGGGAGAGAATGGGTGGGGTGGGTGAGGACCCAAGAGCTTTTCTTCATCTGTATGGCAGTGTCTGACATAATGTCAGAGTCTGACCTGAGCCCTTGCTGTAAGGACCTATGATGATGTGGATAGCCAGGTCTTGGCTGGAGTCTGAACCAGTTGCTCTCACCTCTGGCCTCTCATTTGGAAGCATATAGAAAGTTTTTTTTTTTTTTTTTTTTTTTTTTTATGCAGATGCCAGGAACCCATGGCCGATTTTTAGCATTCTGGTTAAATTGGTGCCTGGTGGGGCTCAGGGAGCTGAATGTTGTGACTGGTCTCCAGGAGATTCCAGTGTGTGCCCGGGTGTTAGGGAACCCTACTCACAGTTGCGCTTCTTTGTCCGGTGACAAGGGCAGAGGGATGGCCTTGCACAAAGCATCTCAGCCTTCGCAGCAGGTGCTCAACAAATGTTTGTGGGAGAATGATGAGGGTTGTTTGTTTGCTTCTTTGTGTGAGTTTCTCTCTTTGTAGCCCAGGCTGACCTCAGACCTGAGACAATCCTACTGCCTCTGTCTCTCGGGTGCTGGGGTTATGGGCATGTGTAATTCAGTGACGGATAGCTTGAAAGCAGACCCTCGATGGTGCAGTGGCTTCCCCTGAGGAGTGCCCTCTGTCCTTCCTCCTGGTCTACGCTACAGGAGTGTAATCACTGTCATCAAGCCTGGGTTGTGACCAGGACCTAAAGACCCCTCCCACCCAGACTTCTGATTTCCTGAAGTCTTAGTCACCTCCTCACATGGGGTCCTATGTAAAGGCCTGGCCTTTAAACGGCTCTTCTAGTGGTTGTAACTGGCCAGGGGCACCTGGGACCACCTGGGACCACTAACCGAATCTTCTTTGTTACCTTGTTTCTCAATTTGATAAGTTATAAACTGGCATGCTCACTGGAGGGTGGCCTTGGGTTCTGCCATTGTCAGCCGTCATCCCATATTCATCTTGGGGGCGTGATCAAAAGATGGTATTCCTGGACTGGAGTCCAGACTCAGGGAACCAAAAGCCATGGGGAGGAGCCTGGCAATCTACATTTTACATCAGCCGGATGTGCAAGTTACCTGTCAGCCTCTGCCTCCCACACACCAGACCACTTCCTGTTCTCACTACCAGGACACGGTCCTCAGATCATCATCAGATTCTTCGCGTGTCACTTCCCCCTAGTCCTCTCCTGGTGGTCAAAGTGGGTCATGGTTTCTATCCCTCATCTGTTCCCACATGGCTACAGTGGCTGCTATGCAATGGGTGGCATGTGGTAGGTGGCCCAGGCCTGGTAAATTGAGGTAGGGGCTTGCAAATTAGAGACTTGGAACAGCACCACAGCTGTGGGCATGCCAGAGAAGACCGGGCACCCCTCCCCAGCGATGGAGGGGAAACCGGAAAACCTTAGTGAGTGGTCCCTAAAGTAGAGCTCTCCAGCCGCAGCTTCTGGTGGGACCGCTGGTCAGACAGTGGCAGGTGAAGCAGAAGTTGTCTGGGCCTGTCGCTCAGGCCAGACCGGGCTGTGCCCCTCCCCGTCCGGGTGGCGCCCCGCCCCTCCAGCCACCGCCGTCCCGCCCCCCCCGCCCCCTCCAGGCTGCAACAGGTGCCTTGAGCAGGAAGCTCGCGCCGCCACCCGCTCCCCGGACGCGTCCAGGACCCACTGCGCCGTGAGCCATCCCTGGCCCCGGCGTGCGCCCCAGACACGGTGACCCTGGTCCACGCGAACCTCCTCCCCTCACCGCGACCCTACCAGGCCCCGCAGCCATGGACGCCCCGGAGCCGCAGCCTGACCCCGACGGTGGGGACGGTCCAGGCCACGAGCACGGGGGCAGTCCCCAGGACGAGTTGGACTTTTCCATCCTCTTCGATTATGACTATCTGAACCCCATCGAAGGTCGGTGGAGGCTCTCCCCTGCCTGGCCCTCGAGCCCTGGCGGGGACAAGGGCCTGGGGACCCAGCGCAGGGCTGCATCAGGGACTGCCCCTGCCCTGGTGACAGGGAGGTTAGCGGGAGACAGGGGCTGCACAATCGCGAGGGGGCGGTTTCCAGTTCCTCCTGAGGGTCGCTGTTAGCATAACAAAGAATGGTCAGGTTCCCAGGACACTCCGAGGTAGTGGAAACGATGTCTTTGCCCTCTGAGAGAGGATTTGGTGGAGGGGCGTGTGCCCAAGGATGCCAGCTACACAGTCCGACAATGTTACCTCCGAGTCTGTGAGAAAGTGGCCCTGAGGCATCCTGGAAGCCGGTTGTTGGGGACTTTGTGTTGAAACTAAGGAAGAAGCTGTGTGTCTCATGCTAGAGGGTGGTTTGCCTGGGTGTCAGGAGGCTGGCCCATTTCCTCTTTGAGTTTACAGACACCGCAGGTGGACCAGCACAACTTACTAAGTGATCTTCTACCGGGCCCTCAACCTTGCTGTAGTGGATGGGGCGCCTGGGCAGGAGGACACCGGCTGTTTCTGTCTAAGTTCAGTCTGTGCCTTCATTCGCTCTCTTGCTGGGGGCTGGGCAGTGTCAGCAGCCTTCTGTCAGAAGTAGGAGGAGGCTCTAAGCCCAGCCTCACGTTTTCTGGTTAGAAAGCTTGTTGTCTGGGAGCAAACAAGAACCTAACCAGGTTTCCTGATTTTAACAGCCCAGCCCATGCTTGCACCAGGCTCATGGGCAAGCCTGTTGGCCGCTTCCAGATGCCCCGATGGCTCCAGGCTTGCTGGCATCTGGTGCCTGGTGCGTAGGAAGGGCTGAGTTGTTGGCTGGGGAAGATGTCGGTTTGCAGAGTCCTGGTGGCATTAACCCTTTCCCCCAGCCGGGTCCTAGTGGGCAACCTTTGGGAAGAGACTTGCTTGGTGACAATTTTGTGCTTTGGCTAGAGATGATGGCAATAGTGGAAGAGCCAGCTTTTGTGTTTTGAGTTCCATTCTGGGGACAGCCTTCCATTGAGAGGGCACAATTAGTAATCTGTAAGCCATCCACACAGACCAGTGGTCTCCATGTTCATTAAGATTAAAGTCACAGACCCCTGCCAGGTTCATAGTCTCTCTCTCTCTCTCTCCCCCTCCCAGTGAGGGTGGAGGGTGAGGATTTCCGGGGAAATAGTTTCCAAGCCAAATCTGGTGGGAGGTGCTTTTTATAGTTTTTCTTGGCAAGCCAGGCTCGGTGGCCGGCAGATGGGTAGCTTAATGACCATGGGAAAGCCTAGTAACCTGTGTTGTTGTTTTAATAATAACCTTTATTTTAGGGGTTCCAGCTTCCCATTTAGAGAGGCACTGTGACAGTAACCCAGAACTCCCATGTACCCAGCACCCCATTTCCCCTTGTTAGGGGCCCGGGGTGTTAGCATGGCATTATCTATTCAATATTGATGTTGGGCATTAAGAAAAGTCCGTGCTTTTTTAGTGTAGTGTGTGTGTGTGTGTGTGTGTGTGTGTGTGTGTGTTAAAAGCCTTGAAGTACTGTGTTAGAAATAGGTGGTATAGCTATGTTATTTACAGTCTATTTAATTCATGTCTGTGACAGGGTATCACGTAGCATAGGCTGTCCTGGAACTACACAGCTTCCTCGCCACAGCATCTTCAGTGCCGGGGTCACAGGCCTATGCCACCATGTTTTAATTTAGGTTTATATGATCACAGGAGTGTGGGCCTGTGCTCTTCTTATGTTAAGGCCACACGCTGTCAGCCCAAGTCATTGCTGTTGACCTGACCTCCCCTGCAGGGAAGGACCTGTGAGTTTCCTTCCGATGACTCCTTTCCAAACTGTGTTCTTAGGAGAGTAACTGTGTGACAGAGACCCTTGCTCACAAGGGCAAGTGATGCTCTAGGAACAAAGCTGTTGGGAAAGGGTGTGGGGCGGGCAAGCATCAGGGACGGGACTTCCTGAGTCTTGAGAGGCAGAAGTGAGGTCACCTCTGGGTGCTACCCCTCTCTATTTCTTCTTGGTAGGACTCCCTGAGAGCTAAGCTGACCTTTATCCTGATAGGAGGCTTTGGTCTAGGTTGATCGTGTCCTAATGATGTGTCTTAGGTTAGCTGGACACAAGGCTGGCCAAATGCATGGCAGGAAAAGTGTCAACATGAGACAGAGACTGTATGGGAACTGGTGAAGGCCATAGAGGGGTTCTGGGAGGTCGGATGGTTGGCAGCAGTGGGTTATGGGCTGGTCCATGTGATATAAAACTCTCTCACCCTAGCATGCGGGCACAGTTTTTGACAGAGGAAAACTCAAAGTCACAGAGAGGTGGAGTAAGTTTCTAGAAAAAGCAGAGCTAGTCAATGGCAGAGCTGAAGTCTGAGCCTAGGCGCTGAAGCACTGTGGGAGGGTTGTCATTCCTCCACAGGATGGGAGACACTTGGTCCATGGGCCCATGGCAAGCAAGGGACCAAAGACAGGATGAGTGGGCTAGGGCAAGACATTTCACAGTATTTTGGACCCTTGTTTGCTTATTTGTAAATGGCTAAAATAATAGTTCTATCTTACCGTGCACTTTGAGGAAGCTAATCCACTGAAGTTAAGCACAGTGGGGTTTGTCTCTACCATTTATTAAACCCTTTCTTTTACAGTCAGCATGAGTCAGTCACCCAACTAATTTCCTAAGCAGCTACCCTGTTAGGTCCTGGGGTCACCCCAAGGCAACACCCAGCTGTGCCCATGCTTAACTAGTGTCCCCAAACAGGCCCCTCGTTTTGTCTTTTCTTGGCTGGTGCCTGACATGAAAGATTACATCAATGTGGAGGTTGTAGGCATCTTTTGTTGTTCTCAGAAGGGACTTGATCGGTATAAAAGACATGTGAATGTCTATGAGAGAAATATGATTTTATTGGTTTATACGGTAAGAGGTCATCTAAGTATACACGTATATGCTGTAAGTAAAGTCACCGCTCCCAGTGTATGCTCTACTTGGCCACTATGTGTATTTTCTTGTGGTGGTGCTGTCAGTTGGTTCATGTCTTTCCCGGCAACACTCCTAAGTGATGCTTTTCGGTGTTACTCTCATGTGTGCAGTTGGCCTTTACTTCCCCTCCTTTCTACGCTGAGGAACTTGTGGGGGTCTGTTCTCTCCCTTCGCCACATGGGTGTCAGGAACCAAACTCAGGGCGCTGGTTTTGGTGGCAAGCTCCTTTGCCGGCAGAGCCATCTCACCAGCCCTATTTATACCCGCTGTTTCCACAGGAGTCGGTTTTGGTAAACTGTATCTAACCGGGTTTCCAAGTTTATTTGCCTGGAGCTGTGTCAAGAGCACTCTCCTTTCTCTCGAAGTGGGTGAGCTGTCCAAGTTTATCCCACATAGAAGATAGGACTGGGGTTATAGGCCCTGGCAGCTGCTGATCACACCCCAGAGGGAGGGGAAACATCTTGCTGGTGGTGACCCCTTACGTTGGAGAGGCCCCGGGCATGCTTGGGCTCAGTGGATCCTTCCTCCTTCCAATTTGGGATTCCCCTGGAGTCTGTGGTCACCTCCAGAAGTATCATATCACCCGGGTGCTGTGTTGGGGACAAGATATGCCGGCGGGCTTACTAACAGTTTTGCCTCAGTGGGTCTGATGCATTCCCTCTCTTGAGCCCCTTTTGGCCCAAGACCCCTTACTGAGGTCAAACAGAGGTTTCTGATCATCACTTGCCGCTTTTCAGTCTGCTTCCGCCAATCTTATACTGCTGTGCTCACACTCTTTGAAAAGCTGATGAAAACCACAGAGACCACACATACACACACGTATGCATTAAGTGGCTCCATGAACAACACATGTATGTCCTGAGCACAGAGTACACAATGCACACATGCACACACACACACACACACACACACACACACACACACACACACACGCACTCGCATGCATGGTACCTACCAGCATCCCCCAGGACACCAACCCCCACCGCCATGTGGACCAATCCCTGATATCACCTGCACTTCAGCTCGAGAACACCTGCTCCATTTGTGGGAGACAATGAAAACCTCACCCTTCCAGCAAACACATGGCATTCTGGTTTTGTGCCAGGCCAAGTGGGTGTGGAGATCAATGAGACTTGGTCCCTGCTTTTGCCTGCATCCCCGGGAGCCAGTATGGGACACAGCCTGGTAAACAAATGGGGACAAATGAGGTGCTGTGATATAGTAACTGGCTTTTTTTTTTTGTGCTACTAAAAATAGGACTGTATACTAAGTAACCTGGCTTGTTGCTGGATGCACATGACATTCAGAGATGCAGAGATGTTGCCCTTTGGGTCAAGTTAAGGACAAGCCATAATTCACCTACTTCAGACAAATAAAGGTCTCCAGGTGCCCCAGGAAAAGTGGGCAGAGGCCAGGTCAGAGAGGAAGTGGGGCTGGAGTGGCCCCCGTCACCCTAGCTTGAAAGGCTCACTGTCCCTTATGGTTCTGCTCTGACCTGGAGTAGAGACACACACAGCCTGAAAACAGTGGCTCTCAGATGGGCTCGGGCTCTGTAGCCCCAGCGGGTGGTGAGCCAGGTACAGAGGCAATGGCAGGCCTCTCTGGAGTCTGGGCACCTGAGGCCCTAGTCTTCCTTCAGCCTTACAGTACACCAGAGCGTCACACCCAGAGCTGCAGGCGCCAGCTGTGTGAGCAGGCCTCATGCATGGCAGCACCTGTATGTGACTCCTCTCTTGGGCCCACACAACAGCAAAACAGGATTGGCGAAAGTACAGGACATAAGGGGGAGTTTGCTCCCTGCCTTTTTTTTTTTTTAAACCTCTTTCTTTTCTCTTCCTCTCTCTTTCCTCCTCTCTCATCTCATAGAGCCCAGGTTGGCCGCAAACCTCCTCTGTAGCCAAGGATGACCTTGAACTCCCAATGCCTCTGTCCCCACTTTGCAAGTGCTGGGACTACACGCATGTGCCACTACACCCAGTTTAGGAGGTACTAGGGACAGAAGCCTGAGC